TTCCTGCGGGGATGATGGAGCTATTGATGATGATGATGATGATGAGAAGGAGGGCAGGGCAGAAGGAGGAGGAGGGAGCATGAGGTGGAGGATGTAGGTGGGAGAATGAACTGTGTGAGGAGGGAGGAGGGCGGATAGAGGAGGGTGGAGGAAGGAGTGATGGAGGGAGGATGGAAAAGGAAGGGGGAGGAGGGAGGAGGGAGGAGGGAGGACGGAGGGAGGTGCGAAGGGGGAGAGAGGAAGAACGGAAAAGGGGAACAGGAGGGGGAGGAGGAGGAAGAGGGAGGGTGGGAGGGGTAGGCGGGGAGCCATCAGCCCGATCGGGGGCTGGCATCTGGGACCCACAGGGGGCGGGGGATCATAATCATCAGAACCCCTTTGGGGTCGCCTCCTGGCCTCCACGTTGAGACACCATGGGCGATCTTTAGAATCCTCTGAGACGTCACGCTGGTCTCTTTGAGGCCCTCTCTATCCATCGAACAGTAGTGCCACCAGAGGGAGAGGGTGCTGCCCCCTGGGCCCCCCCCCCTCCCCATCCCCTCAGCGCTCCTCCTTTTCCATCTCGTCCTCCATCTCCCCCTGCCTGTCCTCCTCCTCCTCTTCTTCCCCCTCCTCTTCCTCCTCCTCTTCCTCCGTAATATACTCCCGATGCTGATGAGGAGGAGGACGACGACGATGATGATAAGGATTGTGTTTTCTGATGATTCGGATGATGATGGTGGTGATGATGACGATAATGATGGTCCTGGCTAGCACCTAAGAGCGCGCGAAGCGCGCGCGTGGTTCTATATGTATGTACATGCGTCCTTCCTCCAAGCCCCTCTCGGCTCGAGCGGTGTCCGTGGGGCTGGTGGAGGCACCACGCAGGCGAGAGATGCCTGCCCAAGCATATCAGGCGCCGCTCCAATGTGCTCCCTCGGGCGAATGATGGGCGCAGCACGCGCCACGTTCCTCTCGCTCGCAGTGCTCAACCCGTTCAGTCTGACGGGCACCCGTGGTGATGAGGTCTCCTCCCAGGTACGCCAGGTCCAGATCGTGGGCTGCCTTGGCACGAAGATCCCGAAACACCCGCACAGCCCCCACCACGTCCAGAGGTACGAGTACCACACAGCCATTCACTTCGGCTACGGACGCCCCAGCATGCATGTGAACAAATCGCGGGCTGCAGCATCCTCCTCGGCCGCAGGTTCAAAGAGAAACACTTCAAAGACATCATCACGCCGCCGCCAGAACTGCACGGCCGGGGGGAGCATCACCATCGAACAAGGCACCACGACGTTGAATATCATCACCGCCTACTCGCCGCCCGCTCCGTGGGACCGCAAGAAGACACCGCAGTGGCGCAGCACCATGACGAAGGTTGCTCAGTGGGTCAGGCTCGGGATCATGAACACGCCGTCCCAGTTCACGCCGATCGCGATGATGGAACTCAACGACCGATTCGCAGCAGGGCACGAGGGCGATGAGACCGTTGGCCCCTACCCGACGGGAAAAGAAGGAGAGGCAGGCAAGATCTACCACCACACTCTGGCAAACACGTACATGGCCGCCGCGAACACGTACTACGACACGGGCCCCACATATGACGGACGCCGCCCATCGGTCACGGATTACATCTTCATCCCCACGGGACTGGTCTCCTGCATCTTCCAGTGCCGAGTGTGGAACCATGCGGCTCACGCACTTTTGCTATCGCGAAAGTTCAAAGATCTCAAGCCGCTGACCATCAAGCTCGAGGCTCCACCAGCATGCCACTCGCCCACAAACGCCTACCAGACCTTGGATCGCGACGCCATCGCACTGGGTCTGAAGGGAGGCCACAAGAGGATCGAGTTCCTAGAAAGCTTAGGGGCCTACCTGAGCACCCGCGCCGACCTGCTGGACGAGTACCTCACCTACGACGACGGCACCTACCACCGGGGACTCACAATGCAATGCTTCCGCGACGCGGCGCTCGAACATTTCGCAGTCGCCCACCAACGCCCCGCTTGGTATCGAGAAGCTCGTGAGCGCAAACTACATCTGCTTAAGGAACGCGCCATGCTACGACAACGCTTGCATGCGCAAGCCGAGCACGCCGATGCTGACGACGACCGACTTCGACAGCCCGACGACACTACCCATGATCTGAGCAAGCAACTCCGACGCCACATGAAGGACACCAACCACAAGTACCAGGAAATGCAGTGTGACGAACTCTGGCAAGCCTGGAGAACGCGCCACCTCGCCGAGTGCCACCGCGTCACCAAGAACATGCTGCGCCACAAGCTGCGGGCCCGCAAGCGCTTCTACGGCATCCTCCCGAGCCCCCGCCCAAGCATGGAACAATGGCAACACTTCCTCCAACGGCCAGGCGCAGAAGGAGGATTACTGGCGATACCTGCTCCAGTCGCTCCCCCGGCGCGCGAGGACCCAGCGCCCTCGCGCGAGCAGCTCGCGCCGACCACTTCGACATCAAGGAGCCCCCCGAGGCCCACGCCAGCACCTCCCACCACAATTGAGACGACCAGCACCGACCACGCCACACTCCTCCATTGCACGGAGCTCGACTTTGACACCATGCTAAACCAAGAGTACGGCGACCTGGCCAACGACGACGAGCCCCCGACCGAGTTACCACCACCTGCACCACCCGCAGCAGCCACGAGTGCTACCAGCACCACCGCATCACGCCCATCCCCACTTCAGCTCAACTACGTTATCGAAGCCGCCGATGAGCTCGCAGCCGTCGCCAAGCTGCTGGGCATGGCCAAGCGCAGGAAGTGCGCCCCCACCTGGGGTCCCTCCGAGATCTTACTGATGGCCTTACAACCTGAAATACTCCGACGCCCTGGGCGACCCCGAGGAGGACTAGGCGCGCCGCGCGCCCCCGACGGCTCCGAGGACCCCTTCCAAGAGAAAGCTACAACTACCGCGCGAATACCGACTGGGCATATCACGACTGATTGGATGCTTGGCCCACGCCCGACAGCATAACCGCGCCCCCACGCAGGCCGACGCGTCCCAGGGCTTCCAGCTCGACAAGGGCAAGATGCTTCTCGGGCCCGCGGGGCTGCGCCTCATTCACTGCTTCGACGTTTTCTGGGGCTGCTTCTCCCGCCACCTCCGCGAGAAAAGATTTCCAACGAGGCTGCCCGACTACGCGTGCGGCGGCATCCCACATCGACGACGAGAGTCCGGCATGATAGTCACCCGAGTGGTAGCCAGCAAGCTCCGACAAGCGAAGATTGCCTTCGCAGTGCGTTACCACGACGGCCGCAACGCCTTCGGGTGCACCCACCACGACGCCATCAAAGAACACGTCACCGGCACTGCCAGACCATCATCGACGCCAGCGACGGCATCCTCCTCACGCGCAACCGCGAGGGGGGACTCATGGGGTGCTCGAGCGAGCCCGACGCCTTCATGAAGGTCTACAACCACCAGCTCGAGAAGTGGCGCGCCGACACAGCCGCCACCCACACCAGCATCATGCTCCAGTCATGCGCCCCAGCATGGGACCCAGAAGGACCAGTGCAGGATCTCAGCCGCCAGGTATTCGTGGGCGACATTTTGAGGTTTCACACCGCACCCCGAGCCGGACCACGCAAACAAGCTATGGACTCCAACGGCCAGCTTCGCGACGCCAGCATCGACGAGCTCCACGCCCTGACCGCCACCATTTAGCGCGACCTCGACGCCCTGCGCCACTCGCTCCACCAGGGGGGCTTCAGCCTAAACGAGACTAAGGAGGAGATCGTCCACTGCATCCCCTCGATGTACCTCCACCGCGCCCTCTTCACCGACCCCCGCGTAAACTGCCGACGACTGACAGCGATAAAACACGCGGGAGGCATGTTCGATGCCAAAGCAACGTTCAATGGAGAGCGCGAAGCCCGACTACGTGCTGCCAATGCAGGGTGGTGCCAGTGCCGCCACTTCTGGTTCAGCCGCGCCCCGCGCCGACTGAAGCGTCTCGTCTTCCAGGCAGTCGCGTGTGAAGCCGCCGTCAGCGCCGCCGAAACCTATTACCTCCATGATACGGGCTACGAGAAGCTGGACATCTGCTTAGACAAGAAGCTGCGGGCCATGCTACAGGGAAAGGGCTGCCACCAGCACCGCGACTCGCACCACGAGGCGATCTCCGCAGCTGAGGTGCGGCGTCGATGGGACATCGTTCCGAGCTCGATCGAACCTAGAAAGTACGACGTCTGAAACTACTTCAGGGGGCTGCAGCACATCCCGGCGACTCCCATCAGCTCGTCTCCGCTCTGTTCGGGGAAATCCGCATCGAGAGCTTCCTGCGCGACAATGACCTACCCGTCATGCCGCTCACCTTGACCGAAGACTGCTACATCAGCCAGGAACACCCGATCGCCAGGCAGTTCGCCACCGACATCCAGGACCTCCTCACCTACGGCATTGCCGAACCCTTGGACCTACTTGATTAGAAAGGCAGCAACATCACGCTATTCACTGACGCGGAGATCGCTGACGCTCTCTGTGGGATTGACGTGAGTTTCATGAGGGCTGCCTATCTTCGGTGCGCTATCGCGCCGCCGAGCTCCCGTCTGAGCTCGCTCCTTCAGAGGAGGCCGAACAGTTCGCTTGCGCACTGACAACTTCCGAAGGGGCCCATGCATGAGCATCTGGAAGACCGCGCGGGCACTATATGCACACCAACGGGGAATGGCTCTCGGAGCTGAACATGGTATGTGCTGCATGTTATCACAGCTCACGCTTACGAATCAGTGCATCATATGTAGTACGACATTCCCGACACGAGCGGGCGCGCAACATCGCATTGCCGCAGCATGGAGATCACGAGCGTGTAAACTCGACCAGACTTGGGCCCCCCTATCCCCTCGTGGCCCCGAAGAGACTCATGTGCCCGATCTGCCGGGAATCATGCGAGGAATACACCGAGCTCCGAAGGCACCTCCGTAATCATTTACCTCAGAACGTTTTGGGCACCCACACGCTTTCGCTACCGCCACGGCCCATCGACCCGCCAGCGCGAGATGTCCACGGGCTCGGTGCTTCCACCAGCAGCGACAGTACCGCAGAGACCGAGCTGGCGCGCCCCACAGGGACCCCCCCCCCACCACCACACACGTCTGGCAGCGGTGGCTCCAACGGGGCCAGGAACAAGCCAGGAGACCGCTCACGGAGTCAAGGCCGAGGACAGGAAGCCCGCAAGAAGCCAGAGGACCAGGGCGCGGAGATCGACGACCAGAAGATCAACCCCAAGAAGGCCCCCCTCGCCAGAGTACGCCGCCGACGAGGAGCAGCACACAATCCGAAGGTGGTGCCCATATACCGAACGACGTGCGCGAGCTGCCCGCCGCCATCTTGCGAGCGACCTACCAGAACACGAAGCAGATCAGGGAGCTCGAAGGGTTCATCATCACGACAGTCAAGATCAGCGACGCTGACCCACTGGTGGAGGTGATCGAGCAGGAGAACCGCAACTACACTCGAGCCATCCGCCGCGAAGGAGAATCACATGGCAGCGGCCCGCCAGCACCAGGGGCCGCGATGGCGATGATGGAAGCGCTGACCCAACAAGACATCGGAGCGAAGAGCAAGGGAGATTTCACCGCGACCATCGAGCGCACCACCGCAATGGACCAGTACCACGTGCAGGACATCTTCCCGACCTGCAAGCTCGAGAAGGCGTACAAAAGCGGCCAGGCGAAGATCCTATTCAATTGCAGGGACTACGAGATCAGGCAGAGCCTGATGACGGCACTGCACAACGCCGACAAGCAGGCGTGCGTGGGGCCAGCTCCGGCGGGGTTCGTGGAGGACGAGTGGACACTATGGATGGACGCGCTGGTGGACGAACTTTGAACAACGGGGTGCTGCCGTCTGGGGTACGGACTGCCAACAATGACGATGACGGCATCACGATTACGGGCGAGTCCACGCGGCGTTTAACAGCGACAAGTGCAACGACGGGGATCTGCACACTGTCGCCAACTCCACCTACACCTTCGCCTACTTCTAAACCCTCAGCTACGCCTCTGCCTACGCCAGCACCAACAGCCACTTCAGCATCAACGACGAGGGCAGTAGTGCAGTATGACAAGGCTTCCGCCTATGTGAGCAAGCCGACTCCTGCTCGGGGACGGCTCGGGAGGGAAATTGGCCACCCTCACTCCACCTCCTTCTGCCCCCCGCCCCCGAGCCCTGCTGCTGCCTCCATGCCGTCCACTTCTCCTCCTCCTCCTCCTCCTCCTCCTCCTCCCCCGACTCGAAGTGCCAGATCCTCCCTGCTCGCCGCTCGAGGGAGAGGTCGGAGCCGAGGACATGGGTACGGGAAAGGCCGTGCTCGCGGCCCGAGGTGAGCTGGGTTGTGGGCCCACCGTTTCCACGCTGGGCCGCTCATAACCATGTGAGCGGCGCCGATAGAAAAACCGCCCACATTGGGCGAGCACCGTCTAGGTTCCTCTCTGTATCTTATTCAGATCTGACGTTCGGAACTTTGGACAGTTTGATGTGAGTAAATCCCTCCTCCCCCTTTGTGCCTCGTCCTGCCACCCCGTGCGTCATCCTTCTCCTCCGCTCCATCGACATCATCTTGCTATTCCTCAATCGTTAACCTAATCATCCCTCCGTGAGTTCCCACTCCGCGCCTGCTCGCACTGCTCGCACTCCGCCGCGCTCTCGCGTACTGCGCCCAATACCGAGATGACCGCGTCCATGAGATGACCAGCCGGATCGTAGGGGTTGGGGTGGGTGCCCATGCCGTTGCCCTTTGCCCTCGCCGAGCTCGCCCTTGCCGTTGCCGCCATCCTTGCCGCAGCCGTTGGCCTTGCCGTCGTCCTTGCCGCCGTCATTGCCGCGGCCGCTGCCCTTGCCAAGCTCGCCCTTGCCGTTGCCCTCGTCCTTGCCGGAGCCACTGCCGTCGTCCTTGCCGCGGCCGCTGCCCTTGCCAAGCTCGCCCTTGCCGTTGCCCTTGTCCTTGCCGAACTCTCCCTCGCCAGCGCCGTCGTCCGTGGCGCACATCCCGCCGCGTGGGCGCACGGACAAAGTTGAGGCAACATCTTCGTCGCGAGAACGAGTATCCTGGCTGGGGCCTGGAACGTGCCCGAAATGAGCCAGGGGGGCCAGAGCCAGAGTGAACACGACGAGACCGCCAGACCCCCTTCGCAGACCACAAACAATACAAAATAAAGAACAACACAAAAACAAAAAAAACAAGCATAAACGTGTTTTTATATATCAAAAACAAAGAACACAAAATAAATAACAATAACAAACATGTTTTTATATCAAAAACAAAGAACACAAAATAATACATGAGACCACCAATGAAAGCAAAGGCGGGACCACCCAAACATGTAAAGCAAACCGCCCAAGAAGTGAAGCAGACCACATTATGAGTAAGTCTTAGGCGGGAGCCGTTGTTGCTGTAACCCGGGGGTCAGGTGCAGTGATTTGTTTGAAGAAAAATAACGGGTGCGAGCCCCAGGGGGTGATTTTCGATTGAAAAAAGACAATGGTCACTGGATGGGGGGATCAACGGTAATGATTGTTCAGTGATGGGAGTTCAGCATCAAGATGAGCACAAGCAACAACAGCAACAACAACAACAGCATCAACAATAACAATCACTATTTTACCCCATGCGCGATGCTTCCACCCGCAGCATGCGACCATCATGATAACCATCCAAACCATGGAGGATTCTTGTTCAATCGCGGGGATCTGTCACTCCCATTCCCAGATCTCCCGCCCAAAAGGTCTTGCAAACACCTGCCGAGGAATTTCAACATACCCCACCTCGAAAACACATGCCCGCGCCCTGCTGCGCCGATGCGAGACAGCCAGTGGAGCCCCAGCCAAGGGGAAAACACAATGAATTATCGAGCGACAGGATTAGTTTGGTGGGGACGGGGGCTGTCGGCGGTGAGGCGGTGCCAACGCAGAAGAAAGTTGGGCGCCAGTCCAGCGTTAAATTACAAGACGTTTCGAGCGGGAGCGCTGGTTATGTTGGGACGTCGGTTGTCGGCGGCAACGGGGGACCCCGCCTTGAGTAAGGAGGGGAGAAGTCTTGAGACGGTTTTGTCGGGACGGGAGCTGTCGGCGGCGAGGAACAGCACCGTCCTCAGGAAAAGGGAGGAAGCCTCGAGCGCGCCCCGAACAGGGACGCCACACCGCGGTAGGCTCACGCGGCGCGGTGCCGGATAAACCAGCGCCGACGTCGCCACAGCAGGAGCCTTGGGCCCTTGAAAGCCTCTCCTCCTTGTCTGTGCGTCCTTCATGGCCAGCGCTCGGGGGGGAGGGGGGATGCGCTCACGGGGGGTCTGCATCGGCCCCCACTCGCTCATCGATCGCAGGGGGGCTGATAGCCCACCCCGCCCAACAGCGGGGTCCCATCGCCGATCATCCGTTGGCGATGCATCGCCGGTTCCCAGGCGACGCTCGCTCGATTCTGGCCAGTCCCCCTCTGCCGTTGCTTCCCGCTCCCGCCGTGGGATCTGCCTCTCCCTGCAGCCCTGCAGGTCAGGACAGCCGGTCCCCGCAGAAGTCGGACCTCCAGGAGCGCCCCGCGCGCCGTGCTCCTGCCCACCCCCCCATGCGCCTGCCGCGCCGCCCGCACTCGAAGATCGAGCGCACTGGTCATTTTGAGCGACGCAAGGAATGAGCTGGGCCTGTCCCTCCACAGGAGGTAGACCCCAAGACAGTCAAGAAGTTGTCTGGGGAGTCTGTTTTTGATTGTGTGTCTGGTTTTGTTGGGGTTCTTTCTGTCTTCTCGTCCAAGACTCCCCTGTAGGGGGACATGCCCGGCCTGACGCAAAGGGACGGGGCCGCCTTCGCCGGCGTTGGACCGCAAGCTGCCCGCGTGAGCTCGCGCGCGGGCGCCCTCGTCTCCGGCTCGGCGTGCCGCGCGCCGGCGGCCCGCGCGAGCCGCCGCGTATAGAAGGTGGTTGCGTCACCTCGGCGCAAGTCCCGTGTTTCAAGCAGTGACGAAGCGTCCTGGCCCGCCTATAGCCCTACCAAACAATGTTCTAATAACCTTTTGTGGTTTCCAGGACATGTTCTTAGAGCACTTCTGGCGGAGTCTGTCCTGTTTTATCACACCGGGCTTGTGTTCTAAGAGCACTTTTTTGGTTTTTAGAGCATTTTTCGGTTCTGACATTTTGTGGTCGGACTATAGGAATGCCGGGACGGTCGGTCACTGCTCAAGTGTTTGATCGTCGCTCACCGTTATGGAAACCCTTTGGGGAGCACCTGGGGGAGGATAGTGGAGGAAGTGGAGGAGGAGCAGGAGGACGAAGAAGGGGAGGAGGAGGAGGAGGAGGAGGAGGAGGAGGAGGAGGAGGAGGAGGAGCAGGAGCAGGAGCAGGAGCAGGAGCAGGAGCAGGAGAGTGGAGGAGGAGCAGGAAGTGGAGGATCAGGAGGCGGAGGAAGTGGAGGAGGAGCAGGAGAAGGGTGGGGGGCATTCCTGGGAGCCTCCGGAGGCATTCCTTTTTGGGCCTCCCGGGAGCTTCCTGAGAGCCTCTTGGGGGCACCCTTGGGGGCGCCCTTGGGCCTCTTGGTGGCCTTTGGGGGGCTTCTCTCAGAGCCCCGAATCATCAGGGGTAACTCGGGTCAGGGATAACTCGGGTTCGTTTTTCGGGAACCCAAACCCGAGTTACCCCGGACCCGAGTTACCCCGGATAACTCGGGCGTCCAGAGCCCCGAATCATCAGGGGTAACTCGGGTCAGGGATAACTCGGGTTCCTTTCTCGGGAATCCAAACCCGAGTTACCCTGGACCCGAGTTATCCCAGATAACTCGGGCGCCCAATTCTCGCGGGCCTCTTTGGCCGTCTTGGTGGGCTCCTGGCCCGTCTGACGCCGTCGGAAACCGTCTTGGGCGCCTCTCTGGGCCGACTTGGGGTGCTACGGTGCCGTCTCGTAGGCCATCTTGGGCGTCTTGGAGGCCATCTGGGGCCGTCTTGGGGCCCTCTTGGGGCCGTGTTGGGGGCATCTTGGGCCGTTCTGGGGCCATCTTGGAGGCAGTTTGGGCGATCTTGTGGCGATCGTTGGGGGCTCTTGGGCCGTCTCGGGCCGTCGGAAGGCCGAAAAGAAGCAAATGCCAAAATCCGTGAAAAAACTGCGGGAAATCAGCCGTTTCAAAAACCGACTCAGGATGGAAAACCGGTCCTGGAGAAAGGGTCGGGAATTCCAGGACGTCGCATTTCTGAGGAGGGGCGGGCCTTCTCAGAGGGCTCGGAAGGTCCTCATCCTCCTGCTCCTCCTGCTCCTCCTCCTGCTCCTCCTCCTCCTCCCGTTTCTCCTCCTCCTCCTCCTCCTCATCCTCCTCCTCCTCCTCCTCCTCGTCGTCCTCCTCCTCCTCCTCCTCCTCCTCCTCCTCCTCCTCCTCCTCCTCCTCCTCCTCCTCCTCCCCCTCCCCCTCCCCGTCCTCCTCCTCCTCCTCCTCCTCCTCCTCCTCCTGAGAGGTCTGCAGAGCCTTCCCTGAAGGCACGGGAAGCCTGCTCACGCGACCGGAGGGCTCGTGAGAAGGCCCGCCGCCTTTCCGAGAGGGCCTCCTGCCTCTCCCGTTGACGCCCCTCGCTCGCCGCCGATCCATGGGGCAGCGCATCCGCTGGATCGCGCCCCGGAGTCCCGTCCGGCAGGGCGCGGAGGTGGGTGCTTCCGCCGCTCGTGGCCTCCCCAGCGCGCCGCCTCGGAGATGCGCGCCGCCGCCTCCTCCTCCTCCTCCTCCTCCTCCTCCTCCTCCTCCTCCTCCTCCTCTTTCTCCTCCTCCTCCTCCCTCCACCTCCTCTCCCCTCCTCCTCCACCTCCTCCTCCTCCGCCTTCTCCTCCTCCGCCTCCTCCTCCTTCTCCTCCGCCTCCTCCTCCTCCTCCGCCTCGTCATCCGTATCCTCCTCCTCCGCCTCCTCCTCGTCATCCGCCTCCTCCGCCTCCTTCCCCTCCTCCCCCTCCTCCCCCTCCTCCTCCTCCTCCTCTTCCTCCTCATGTTCCTCATTCGGCTTGTCTTGCGTCGAAGAAAAGAAAAGCGACGGAGTAAACACAAACTGTCTGCGGTTTGCGCGGGCTTATTGCGTCGGCGTTGGACCCCCCTGGCCGCGCCTTCAGAGCGCTCCGCGCGCCAGAGAGGGGGTCCAGCGCGGTTCGAAGAAATCCGCGCGGGCCTCCAGCAGTTTATGCTTACGCTCTTACCTTTATGTTGTTCCGACCTACTTTAACTTTGACCACCAGAAAGAATTTCGAGCACCAGGGGATTTCACGTGTCGGGCCCTGGGGGGCGATACTCTTTCGACATTTCGCCAGCGTGTCGGGCAGACACTGTTCTGCTCGAGCTCGATACTTCTCTGGGTGCTCGAGCTTGTTTCTGGGGCGTGGTCCCCAAGCACGATGGGAACAACCCGAGTCTATGCCGTTCTCTGTTCCCATGATATTATGCCGTGTTCTATTCCCTCCCTCCTCCGCTGCGCCCTGCCGCCCGCCCTGCGCGCCTTCTCGAAGATGCGCGCCGCCTCCTCCTCCGCCTCCTCCTCCTTCTCCTCCTCGTCCTCCTCCTCCTCCTCCTCCTCCTCCTCCTCCTCCCCCTCCTCCTCCCTCCTCCTCCTCCTCCTCCTCCTCCTCGTCCTCCTCCTCCTCCTCTCTTCTCCTCTCCTCCTCCTCCTCCTCCTCCTCCTCCTTCCTCCTCCTCCTCCTCCTCCTCCTCCTCCTCCCCTCGTCGTCCTCCTCCTCCTCCTCCCTCCTCCTCCTCCTCCTCCTCTTACTCCTACTCCTCCTCCTCCTCCTCCTCCTCCTCCTCCTCCTCCTCCTCCTCCTCCTCCTCCTCCTCCTCCTCCTCCTCCTCCCACTCCATCTCCTCCGCCTCCTCCGCCTCCTCCTCCTCCTCCTCCTCCTCGCCTCGTCATCCGCCTCCTCCGCCTCCTCCCCCTCCTCCGTCTCCCTCCGCGGCGCCGCCGCCGCCCGCCCAGCGCGCCTTCTCGAAGAAGAGCGTCCGGTCCTTCCTGGCCCCCGACCCCAAGGAGCCGCGGCGCCCGCCCGCCCCCTTCCTGCGGCTCGCTCGAGCCCGCGGCCTTGTGGCTCGTCCTCGCCGTCGCCGCTGCTGAGGTCGTCGTCGTCGTCGTCGTCGTTTGTCCCTGTCGTTATTGTCATCGTCGTTTCGGAGGTCCTCGGCTCTCTCTCTCTGCGTCGCCGACGTCGGTCGTCGTCGCGATGTGTGTCCAGTGTTTTTCGGCACGTCTTTCTGGAGGTCCTCGTCGCCACCGCCCGGCGTAGCTCGGGAAGCTGGGCATGATGGACCCTGGGAGGGCTTCGGGGGATGTCTAAGAGCAGATCTTGGTCGGCGCGTCGTCGTCGCCGAGGGGCGAGGATCGAGGTGTTCAGAAGTGCAGGTGTTTTCAGAATTTTGCTCTGGCCTCTTGGGACCTTCGGGGGCCTTCCGCGATCCCTGAATGTCGCAGAGAGATGGGGCCATGATCTGTGCGCAGCGCCCGGCCACTCTTGGTGGGCCTGTTTTCCATCACCACCTCCATAGGTTGAAGGGGGGAAGGAGGAGGAGGACGAGGAGGAGGAGGACGAAGAGGAGGAGGAGGAGGAGGAGGAGGAGGAGGAGGAGGACCCCATGCCCCTCCAACTTATGGTGGTGGTAGTAGTGCAAGACGGGCCCGTCAGCTCCGTCGGCAGTCTCTTGTCGGGCCCGTGGCGCCGCGAGCACCCGTGGCGCCCTTGTGCGGCAGCAGGCCCGTCGCGCAGTTGCGCGGCGAGGGGGGGCGCCACCCGAGGAGGGGCCACGCTGGGCCACCGACTCCTCGGGGGGCTGGGGCCCCCTCGCGGGGCCTTCGGGGCAGCATTTCGGTATCTTTCAACCGATCCCCATCCCCGTCCCCTTCGAGACCCCCACCAGATTACCACCCCAGCGGGGGATACACCCCCCGAAACTTGAATCGGCCAGGGGGGCCCAGGTCACGCCGCTGAGGCTGGGGATCGGATGAGCGATACTCATTCAGGGCAGTAGTCCGAGTCAGTGAGAAGGAGCTCCTTGGGAACAGAAATCCCAGGGGAGGAGTCCAGATGCTTCAGCAAGTGCGTGCACACAGGCTCTGACCTCGCCTCTCCCTTGGAAACAGCAGTGGCATGAGTGCGGCATCGGCGGTGAGCTTTACATGAGTGGCAGTGTCTGTTTCAGCTTATGATGCGCCAACACAAAACGAAATTCGAGGGTTTTCACGTGCCGGGCCGTGGGATATATTCGTTCGACACCATTTCGACACTGCTTTGACACTTGTTCGACACTTCTCTTGGTGTTTGAAATTCGTTCTGGCTTGTGGTCCTTAAGTGCGGTGGGAGCAGCATAAGTTTCAGCATGTGTGAAATATGTTCCAGCGTTGCTGTGCGGCATGAGTTTGCTATCCGCGCGCGGGGGCCCGCGCGTGTGGCCCCTGCAGGACATTCCTTCAAGCGGCTTCGCTGAGCATCGATTTGTGTGGTCAAAGCGGGAGTTCCGCGTGTTCTGTTCTTCGGGAGGGGCGATCGCCTGAGCCAACACAGCCCCTCGAGGCGTTGGGCGCCGCCGCGCGGCGCCACGACCGCTCAGCGCGCGCGTCTCAGAACAAACAATCTTCGTCGGGGACGAAAGGGGGCCTCGGAAAGGGCCTGGCTGGAGTTGTACGAGCTCGTATTTGGGATGGGCGACCGTGCAGAAGGAGGCCAACATGAACAGCCGATAAGCATAGCGGGGTTGTTGCGTCTAGCCGCCTCGGCATTGCGGTAGGGGAGTGGCCACTCATGTGTAGACACGGGACCTGCATGGTGCAATCATGGGCGCACGGGGCCCCGCGAGGCGCCGCAAGCCGACGAGACGCCCACGGGCGTCCGGCGGGATAAGCACGCACACACATTTGCAATATATATATATGTGCATCTATACAAATATATACACATTATATATATGTATACATATACACATATTAACATATTTCTATACATACACACGAAAAGTGCTTACCGACAAATGTATAAACAGGTTCTGGCATATAGGTTTGTGTTTTAGAGCCGTCTTGGAGCGGCCCTGGGGTGGGGCATGTGGGTAGCTGTCATGTGACGCCATAGTGGGGGCCATCTTGAACTGCTTGGGCCACCTTGGAGCAGTCTTGGATCATTTCGGACGCCCTAACCCGTCGCGCACACCCAGTCCAGACCCAGGGGGGGAGGGGAGGGAAGTGGGTCAACTTGCCCGAGTCGAAGGACGGCCGTGTCGCTCATTCCCGCCCGGCTTCTCACCACAGGAGTAGCACTGGAGTCTCAGCATGAGCATGGGCCGTCATCGACAATCGTCGGTCACCAATGCGGACGCCAGACGTGTGTGCGACGCCCTCGAGGTGCGCCGCGCGTTCCATGACACCGGGCACCCCCCAACATCTCTGCCGAACATTTATGCGAAGCGATCGTTCGAGCATGATCCATATTTTCTTCCGCGCATGATCGGCCAGCGCGTCCAGTGATTCGTTTTGCTGCGCGGTTGCAGCCCAGCGCGAGTATGGCGTGGCGTGCTGCTCTCTACTTGTCCAGGCTCGCATTGCGCATGCTTCCATATATAAATCATAAAACTTTGTGTGCTCGGCGGTGGTAGGGGTCTTCAGGCATTTCCTCAAGAGCTTGGTGTCGCTCGGACTTGTGCACTTTTTCTCGGCGGGGATTATGAAGGAGCATCCTGGATCATCCTGCGAAAAAATCAAAGCACGGAGTCGAAAAACGCATAGGGAATGGACGTCCGAGCGACGGGGAGCCTGGAGACGGGGGTCAAAGCAAACGGGGGTCAGCCAGAGCGCTGGATCTTGCAGGATCGTGCAGGGCCAGGGTCGCACTGACCCGGGCTGGGGTGCAGGATACTGCAGGATCTTGCAGGATCCCTCGCGTTGACCCGGGTTTGGGCGCAGGGTATTGCAGGATTCTGCAAGGCCTGGCTGACCCGGGTCTGGATCGGCCCAGGTCAGAAGAACCCCGAGAGGAGGCCCTTCCCGGCGCCCCTCAGGCGGGCCGAAGTCGAGGGAAGATTCCGGCCCTTGGGCCGGGCAGGCCAACCTTGAGCCAGAGCGGCCTGAGCCAAAACGGCTTGAGCCAGGGGGGGTGCGGTCTGCACGGAATACACGCTGGAGGTAAGAAAGATGTACCCATCTATGGGGTACGATCGAATACGACAGGGGCGGGTATCGAGGTTTTGGGATATACGTGTTGCATGGCACGCAAGCATATACTAACGAACAGTCATACAGTGATTGTCGATGTTGTTGTTGCTATGGTTGTGTTTGGTGGTGGCAGTGTGGTTGTTGTTGTTGTTGTTGTTGTTGTTGTTGTTGCGGTTGCTGTTGTTGCTGTTGCTGTTGTTGTTGTTGTTGCTGCTGTTGTTGTTGTGGTTGTTGTTGTGGGTGGGGGTGGTGGTGGTGTTGTTGGTGGTGGTAGTGCTGCTGCCGTTGTTGTGGTTGCTGTTGTTGCCGATGTTGGTTTTGTTGGTGATGTTGGTGTTGTTGTTGTTGATGTTGTTGTTGTTGTTGCTGTTGCTGTTGCTGCTGTCGTTGTTTGCTGGTGTTGTTGTTTGCTGTTGTTGTTGTTGTCGTTGTGTTTGTTGTTGTTGTTGTTGTTGTTGTTGTTGTTGGTGTTGTTGTGGTTGTGGTTGTGGTTGTGGTTGTGGTTGTGGTTGTTGTTGTTGTTGTTGTTGTTGTTATTGCTGTTGTTGTAGTTGTTGTTGTTGTTGTTGTTGTTGTTGTTGTTGTTGTTTGGGCGCCGGTTTCGGCGCAACCCCGAAATGCCTAAGCGTGAGCCTGATATGCAAATGAAATGCAGCCGGCACGCCGAGGCGAGAGCGCCAGAGCAGCGGATGCAGTGTGTCCCACAAGAACAAGTCTTGAATAGTTAACGTTCAACATGGGCTATGAAAGCCTTAGGGCCTCGGGGGGTCTTGAGTAAGAGCGGAGGAAGTATCGAAGGGAGCCTCGTCGTTTGCAGGGGGGGCGCTTGCGGCGATAGAGGCAGAAAACGGTCATATAAATCCGTCATTAAGTATTTCACGACGAGAGGATGCCAGACTTGCGACCACTTGCGAACCTTACCCATGCGGGTGCTTTTCATGCTGAGGTATCGAACACGCCCGCTGGGTTTCACCTGGCTGCGGACATCCTTCGAATTCTGAACCCCAGCTGCCGTTTCAAACATCTGACCTGCGGGGGAAAGATCACATGAGCGAGTGGGGGAAACGGGGTCGACTGCGCCAACATTCGTGTGTAAGCTGTCCGCGAAGGTCGCGCGCAAGCGCCCTCGTTTCCAGTGTGGCGTGCCTCGCTGACGGCCCGCGTCACCCGTGGCGTGAAGTCGCTGCGGCACGGTGTGCGAGGCCCGTTGTGTCTCGAGGCATTCTGGCCCGAGCCGATTCTGGACGATTTTTCCGAGGCGCCGAAGCAGTGAAGTCTCTCACGTCGGCATGGACACCCCGAGGCGCGCCGCGCTGGAGCAGGCGAGGCGTGGGGCGCTGGAGCGGGCTGCGGCGGCGCCGACGCAGCGCGTGCGGCGGCCGCCAGGGCTGCGCAGCGCGGCCGCGACCGGCCACGGCGCTGAGGCCTGCACGCCCGCGGTTGGCACCGGCAATGCCAGCACGACTTCCTCCCCGTCTGGCAGCGGCATGGCAGCCGTCGCGTCCGCGACAGCTGAGCGCCAATGAGACCGCGGCTACGCATGGGACATAATCAGGTCCAGGGCAACGCGTGATGCCACGCCGAGGGCCGGCCTCGAGGCCTGGTGCCTAGGGCCTGATCCTTCTCCTCTTCCTCATCTCTGCCCTCGATCCTCCTCCCCGCCCCATGTCCTCCCCCTCCCCCGCCTCCTCCCTCCCCGGTCCCCATCTTACGCTCGCCCCCCCCCCTCTCCTCTTGCTTCCCCTTCTCTTGTTCCCCCCCTCCTCATCGTGCCGCCCCCTTCTCTTCCATCGTTAGTCCGCAAACTTACGTGATCACGTACTCGTTGTCTCAAATGCCTGCGTCAAGCAGGACAATACCTTTATACTACAGTCAGTAGGCGATGCCCGCGTTTAGCAGGACAGAACTATAATTCGAGCGTTCTTCGACTTGGTTATGCTTCACCGGATTTTGTTTTCGTTGGTTTCTGCGACAACCGCAGGTGCAGTTTCTCCTCCCGATGCGCTCTGGATTGCGCGCCCGATAGAGGTAGACTCGAGCCCCCGGCTGTGCGCCAGCAGCACATAGCTTTGCTCCCTTTTTGCGCTGGCGCGCCCGGAATCAAAGGCTTGACCTCTTGGCGGCGCGGCAAAAAATAATGCGTAAGAACCGTACCTGCTCGTCATTGACATGTGTTTATCTACCAGGACAGGCCAGACTCCCAGCCCAGACTTCCTCGGGTCCAAACAAAGATTCTAAGTGGGTCTAGCGCAGGTGGTGGGTCTGCGGCGCGAGAAGCAATCGCTCATTCACTGTATATGAATTCGTGCCATAGTGCGCCACCGCTGCGGGGGGGCGGAGGCGAACTATCGCACGGGCGATGACTATTGCGTGTGACAAAAGCTATATAATTGCATCCGCGCGCACTTGCATCACTCAGTTTGCAATTTCTAGAGACAAGCAAAATGGGGTTGGGGGGAGGGGGAGAGCCACCTGGGCGCGGCCCTTCTCTATAGATATAAGGCCGGCGCCTTCTAAGAAGCTGCCTCCTTCTAAGAAGCGCCCTCCCCCCTCCCTCCACCGCCTCGTGCGCGCCGCCAAAAAAGTGCATTCTGCATTGGTTTGCTACAGGGATGGTGGTGGTGGTGGGGGGGGGGGGGGCACGTGTCTCGGTTCGCCCCAGGGAAGGTTTGGGGGAGGGGGTTCCTATTCACGAGGAAGGGCGATCACCCCTCCAGGGAGGGGGTCCCACTTGTCCATGTCAAGAAGGTGGCTATAACTCCTCAAGGGGGTTCGTTACCTCTCAAAGAGGCCCCGAAGGTGTGGGAAGGTTCTGAACGAGGAAGCGCGCTGGACCACTTCGGCAACCCTCAGGGGCCGGCTGGAACTTGGTGGCCGGGGCTCAGTGGTATGCTCCCGATGCGCCTGCTCAGCCGGCAGGCGCACCCCGAGGGCTCGGCCGTGCGGGGCCCGATTCGGCCTTGTGCCTTGCTGCCTCGGCCCCCGCAATGACCTCACACGGGCCACGTAGCCCTGAGTGGGGCCTGTCCCTCTGCAGGATGGATATCCAAGAGTTATCAAAACAATCATCCAGGGACGACTTTTCGACTATGTTTGACTATTTGGGTTTTTTTTGGTAGCAACTTTTGGTTCTTCGTCCCAAATTCGCCTGCAGGGGGGACATGCCCGACCTAAACGTAGCCGTTGTAGGGGAGGGAGAGAGGGTGTGAAGGGAAACAGGGTTAGGTCACCCACGGGGGCGCTAAGATGTTTGCGCTTCTCGCGTCGCGGTCTTGGGCCAGAGCGGCTGCCCTTCTCTTATAGACCAGGGGAGTCTTTATAGCACGTCGAAAATTGTTCTGGCCAACAATCTTGCAACTCATGGCGAAATCTCCGGGCCAGCTTGACAATCTCCAGCAAAATCTCGAGGGTCTCCGGAATGTGTAAGGATTGGTTCGAATTCGTTGGGATGTGGGATATCCCGGCGGAGATCTCTTTGGAAGTCTGTTCTGGGAGATTTCTTGGGAGATTTGTTGGGATGCTTCCGAGTTGCAAGATTTTCCTGGAGATTTCCGTAGAGTCTTCCGAAGAGCAAGGTTTTCTTGGGGGGCGAAGGCTCCAGGGTTTCTGATATGTATTAGCTTTGATTCGAACAAATTTGGATGTAGAACGTCTCAGTGCAAATCTCTTTGGAAAATTGTTCCGGGAGATTGTCCAGGAGACTTCCGAGGTGCACGATTTTCTTGGACATTTCCACGGGGACTTCCGAGGGGCAAGATTTTCCGGCACACTTCCACGGAAACATTTCCGAAAAGCAAGTTTTCCCGGGAGATGTCTTGGGAGCTTTCCGAGTGGCAAGATGTTCAGGGAGATTGTGCATCAGAGACTTCCGAGGCGCAAGATTTCCCAGGAGATTTTCCGGGGTTCTTCTGAGGAGCAAGTTTTGCCTAACATTTTATTGAGGTCTGTGGGGCGTCTAAGATTTGTTTTGGATTTTTTTGTTCAGACGTGGTATTTCGGCTCAAATTGGGCATGTCCCTCTACAGGAGGAATATGAAAACATATTCAGAACATAGTTTTGGAAGGTTTTTTGTATATTAACAGAGACTATGGTTTAACTATGCTTGAGCAATGCTTGACTATGCTTATTTGTTCGTCCAATATCCGCCTGTAAGGGGACATGTCCGACCGGAGTCCAGGCATTCCCCCGACCTATGACCCTTCTCCAACGAGGGGCGGCGCGAGGGCGCCGAGATGCAGCGCGCACCGCGGAGCGCCATGTGCGCGAACTTACGTGGCTTGCGGGAGAGAGGAAGATGAACATACGAAGAGGGACAAAAACACGCAGACTCAAGTCATCGGCGATCCCCAGGACAATAGAGGAACATATGGAAAGGGGGGGGGGGAACGCGAAAGTCCAGAAGCCATGGAAACATGTTGGGGATCTGGGGAGTTGTGCGTATTTCTTTGTGTGTCCCTGGGCCCCTTCAACACACGAAGAGGGAAGAACGGCCATGGAATGGAGAGCGACCATGGCGATGTGACGGCGCGAACTCACGTGACTTGGGGGAGAGAGAAAGATACATACGAAGAGTCATGGCGCCAACATCGCAGAGCGGATTTCGTTCGGAAAACGATAGGATGGGCCCCGAGTGTCCTGGATAATTTCGTGCCAGAATTCGCGGTGAATCTAGTGCTGAGTTGGTTGGGCCAGGAATGAAGGCCTAAATTAAGCCAAGCGAAAAATTAATGTCTTTCGCTCGCCGCTTCGGGCAAAAATCCACGCAGAAATCCAAGCAGAACTCCGCTGCAGCATGTCTGCAAGGCCGGTGCAATGAGAAGAGGGAAGACCAGCCATGGAATGGGGAGTGACCGTGGCGATGTGACGGCAAAGGACAGGCGCAGACATTGTGGCGTTCGAGTGAAATCTTGCCGGCGCCAGGATGCTCTCTCCAGGGTCGCCGATTCAGGCCTCCCCGTTGCACGGGGGGCTGTTCGCACTGATCTACCGGGTGCGCGGCAGTGAGGCAATGCTAGTCAAGAGCAACCGCCGCGTGATTCAGAGAAGGAGGAGATATTGATACCACTGCTCGTCCTGGAGAGCCCTCGTCGCCACGGCTAGATTGTCCTAGAAATTCTGGTCAGGACGCGCCACAGGAGAGGTCCATGGAGAAGCTGTATCTGAGTACCCGTCCTGTCCTCCCCAAAGATGTGCGGATTGGGTGGTGCACACGGCGGCTTCGTAGCTGGAGCTCGCGCAACGATGTTAGCATCAACTTGCAAGACATTGTTCAGGCCGTCTATTAGGGAAACGAAGAATGGCATAAACATTAAGATTCTGAGGTCCGCGCGAATTTCTCGGATCGGCGCTGCCCCCCCCCCCCGGCGGTGCTTCCGGCGCCGCCCCTGGCGCGCTCCGCGAGCCAGGGAGGGAGTTCCAGCGTGGATCCGAGAAATCCGCGCGCACCTTCGAGTTGTTATGTTTATGCCATGTTTCGTTCCCCTATTTAGCCCTATCACAACACAGCGCCGGCCGTCCATCGTTGCTTTGTCATTGCCTCTGGTCGTGCACATCGCACCGTCGCCTGCCTATGTTGTGTGCTCATTCGCGTCGGCGCCTTTCTCAAGCAATAGTCAGGAGGGAAAACGACACACAGACGCAATGCATCGTTGATCCCCCAGAAAATATGGGAGACTAGGGGAAGTGGGGCGGAAGACAAAGACCCAGAAGATATGGGAAAATATGGGGAGTCCTGATATCTGTGTCTCTTTCTCTGTGTGTGTCCCAGGGCCCCTGCAGATGTCGGGTGGTCGGCTCTGGGTCGCTCCCCTGGGTGTTGCTGTGCCCCTCCCCGCCGCTGCCTCGTCTTCCTCGTCGCCGTCTTGCTCGTCGTCCCGCCCGCTGCTGATCATGCTCGCGTATAGCCAGGGCCCCAGGTACGGGGACCCGGTTAGTAGTGGGCCCCTGGAGCCCCCAACTTGGCCAGAATCACTAAACCAGGTCTGCCGCAGCTGCTGCTTTTTCGGGTGACGGCGGTTCCGGTGAGTGGCAGGGGGAGGGGGGGGGGCGCGCCCCCCAGTACACATCGCTAAACCAGGTCCCACCAGTTCCGCCAACGCCCGACATGCTCCTCCTCTCCCCCGCCCATCCATCCTGCATCATCCCTCTGTCAGGAGGGAAAGACACAGGCACAGATCATGGCTCCCAGGGGAACATCTGGAGACAAATTTGGAGTGGAGGGGAAGACGAACATCCAGAGAAGATTTCAAACTATGGACACTCCTTTGGGTCTGTGTCCGGTTATATATGTGTGTGTGGGTGTGTGTGTGTCCCTTGGCCCCTTCACTCTTACGCTCTCCACCTTCATTCCTCCGCAACCCTTCCATGTATACATATGCTCGCGCCCGCTCCTCGCTACTAGGCTTACCTCCCGCTGTTCTTTTCACGACGCGGGGCGAGGATGAAACCTCTGGTCAAATTCGACAGGGGAGATGGGACATCCGGTGCATATTTGGTCGAACACCGACCTGGTCTGCCGTACGCCCGTTTCATGCTATTTGAACCCCACGCTTGATGCCGCTCAGTCGGGCGCAAGCTGGCCTCATCCGGTTCACAGACATTTTCAGGTGGGTCCGTCGCCGTCGATAATTCTTACGAGCACCTCCCGCTCAAAATCGGCCCTCGATGCCCGGACCTGGCCGTGGAGACGAGAAGCCTCGAGAGAACTGACCAGCAAAAGGGCGGCAGCAGCACGCAAGGAGCGGCCGCCGTTGTCTCGACTGCTGTGCTCGAAGGATTGCAATCCTTCGTTTTTTTGCAATCCTTCGGGTTTTTTTTTTGCAATCCTTCGTCTCGGGGTCCCCGCCGTGCTCCGCGTCCGCCCTCTCCACCCCTCTCGCAGCCTGCTCCCTGCAGATCTGTCCCGTGTGCGGCACGGTCCACGGCGCCATCCCGGGGGGCCGCGGCCTCCCCCTCCCCCCGAGCGCCGGAAGAGACCAGCCCTCCTCCTCCTCCTCCTCCTCCCCTCCTCCTCCTCCCTCCTCCTCCTCCTCCTCCTCCTCCTCCTCCTCCTCCTCCTCCTCCCCCTCCCCCTCCCCCTCCCCCTCCTCCTCGTTCTCCTCCTCCTCCTCCTCCTCCTCCTCCGATGGCGCCGACAGTCGCGGTGTGCGCTGCTCGCGAGAGGTCGCGCGTCGGCGCCTTCGTCTCCACGACTGTGGCGTGCCGCGCCGGCGGCCCGCGCAGAGCGGCGGCGGGAGGCCGCCGTGCCGTCTCGCGCAGGCCCCGTGGCCTTTCGACGCCCACCCCTCCTCCTCCTCCCCTCCTCCTCCTCCTCCTCCTCCTCCTCCTCCTCCTCTCCTCCTCCTCCGCCTCCTCCTCCTCCTCCTCCTCCTCCTCCTCTCCTCCTCCTCCTCCTCCCCCCCCCCTCCTCCTCTCCTCCTCCTCCTCCTCCTCTCCCCTCCTCCTCCTCCTCCTCCTCCTCCTCCCCCTCCCCCCTCCTCCTCGTTCTCCTCCTCCTCCTCCTCCTCCTCCTCCGATGGCGCCGACATTCGCGCAGGACCCGTGCCCTTTCGACGCCCACCTGGCCGTGGCTCGTCAGAGCCCCAGAATCATCAGGGGTAACTCGGGTCAGGGATAACTCGGGTTCGTGTTTCGGGAATCCAAACCCGAGTTACCCCGGACCCGAGTTACCCCGGATGACTCGGGCGTCCAGGGCCCCAGAATCATCAGGGGTAACTTGGGTCAGGGCTAACTCGGGTTCGTGTTTCGGGAGTCCAAACCCGAGTTACCCCGGACCCGAGTTACCCCGGATAACTCGGGCGTCCAGGGCCCCAGAATCATCAGGGGTAACTCGGGTCAGGGCTAACTCGGGTTCGTTTTTCGGGGACCCAAACCCGAGTTATCCCGGACCCGAGTTACCCCGGATAACTCGGGCGCCCAAGTCCCTCTGCAGGAGGAGCATCCCCAACTAGCAAAGAAGTAGTAGGGAGGGGACGAGTTGTTGATTGATTCCTGGCCACTTGTTCCCGTTTATGTTTCGTCCAGAATCCGCCTGCAGAGAGCCGTGGCTGGGCCCAGACGCCTGTCGGCACCGGCGGCCGCTCGGCCGCTCCGCCCGCCCGCCCCTCCCGCCTCTGCGTCCCGTCGCCCGGCCAGTGTGGAGCGCAAGCATGCCGCCCAGGGAAGGTGGGCCCGGCCTTCCACGGGGCCTCTCGTCGGCGGAGCACGACGTCATGATGATGATGATGATGATGATGATGATGATGATGATGATGATGATGATGATGATGATGATGATGATGATGATGATGATGATGTGGAGGATGTGGAGGAGGAGGAGGATGATGTTGACGATGGAGATGATGTTGCTGATGATGATGATGATGATGATGATGATGATGATGATGATGATGATGATGATGATGATGTGTAGGAGGAGGAGGAGGAGGAGGAGGATGACGATGACGATGCTGATTATGATGATGCTGATGCTGATGCTGATGATGTTTTATGATGATGATGATGATGATGATGATGATGGTGATGATGATGATGATGATGCTGGTGATGATGATGATGATGCTGCTGATACTGATGATGATGATGATGCTGATGATGATGATGATGATGATGCTGCTGCTGCTGCTGCTGCTGCTGATGATGATGATGATGATGATGATGATGATGATGATGATGATGATGATGATGAGGTGGTGGTGGTGGTGGTGGTCGTGGTGGTGGTGATGATGATGATGATGATGATGATGATGATGATGCTGATGCTGATGGTGATGCTGATGGTGATGCTGATGCTGATGCTGATGATGCGTTTCCAAGGTGTCTCAGATCCCCCGATTCCCGTCGGTTCCTTTCGGGCTCCAGGCACGAGGGCAGCCAGATGCTCTGGAACGAGGGCGAGTCGCGGCAGTGCCGGGGACGCACTTGGGGAGAGGGGGCGTCACGTTCTGGGAGTGGCATAACGCGCCTTATGGCCCAAAGGGTATTGTAACAGAAACATCCTCCAGGGCGTCGCGGTGGGAGGGGCATCGCCCACATGCTCATTACGGCGGCGGAGGGGGGGAGGGGCAGACCGGGCATGGGCAGGAGCAGCGGCAGCATCCTCACGCTGGGCAGTCTGCTTGCCATCCTGCCGCGGCGGCCCAATCGGCCAAGAGCTCCCTGCTCGTCGTATCCTGCCGCCGAGATACCCTAGAATTCGTGGAACGTGTCTCGCTTGCCATCCTGTCGCTGCGGCGACATCGCCCAGGGCTGGCAGCAGGAAGCGCACCATCACCACCACCACCACCACCTGGGGGGATGAAGGATGAGCCGGCGTGCGGGATGCGGGTGTGCACCAGGTCCCGCGAGAGCGCCCGAAACGATGCACGTCGTCACCAGCCCCGACCACCCTCTTCACCAATCCTCCAGGGTGAGGAGGAGGAGGAGGAGCAGGAGCAGGAGCAGGAGCAGGAGGAGGAGGAGGGTGCGCTTGTTTTTTGTTGAAGCTCCCTGCGCCCGACCCCCGCCCCGATTCCTGGGCCGAGCCTGCCCTGGCGTCGCCCTCGTGCTCTCCCGGGCGCAGCCCCGCGCCGCCGCTCGAGCGCCGCCGAGCCAGATGGCGCCCAAGGAGCGGCGCGGGGCCCGGGCGCGGGGAGCGGCTGGGCGGCCGCGGCAGACTCGCGACGGGCAGACTGCATCGGCGGCAAAGCATGGGAGCCTTGAGCGTCCGCTGGCCATCGCGCTTTGTCACTCCTCGGCTGAAGTCGGGCCCGAGCACCTCCAGGAGGAGCATTCAAACATAGTATAACAGAGTCTGGGGACGATTTCTTTGGATATGTTTGGATTTCTGTTGAATCGTTTTTGGATATCTTTATTGTTCGTCCAAGATTATCGGCCTGTAGAGGGACAGGCCCGGCTGAATCCTGGGCGATATACGTATTGCGGGCGGTATCACGGGAGAGGGGTGGGGAGATCGGGCGCGGTCCGGTAACGTCACGTTTCGCTCCGGAGCCGCCTGGTGATGTCTAGGTATAAGCAAAGACAGCCCGGATGTCAGCACGCATCGTACGGCCGGGGCCGGTACCGGCCGCTATCGTGAACAGTAAGAAACGCTCTCTTGGCGAAAAACATATCCGTATTCGCAGCCTCGCGGGCCGCGCCCCTGGGTCGCGGCCCCGCGGGTACAGGGCGCTCTATATCAGCGGAGTCCCCGCGCTGAACGTATCTGTGCGACCGCGTATCCGCGGGATCGCGCCCGAGAATCCAGACCGCGAGGTCGCGGATACGGATTTGTGCGCCGCTCGTGAGTACAGTGGGCAAGCGTGCGATAGCGTCTGGTGCTTGATGATAGCGTTCAGATATAGCTTTGATCCGCGTGGATTCGGCGTCGATTCGCGTCGGCCAGCGTCGACTCACAAGAGCTCGCGGAATGGCATGCGAGGCCCCCGTGGGTTGCGCAGAGGTCTGCCCGATGCTGCCGCTGCTCCTGCCCCGGGCCCTGTCTGTACCTCCCCCTCCGCAGCCGCGGTGGGCGTGTGAGCGTTGCCCCTCGCACCGCGACTCCCTGGATGATGCTTCTGGACAGAACCCCCAACAGTGACACGTCGATTTGTGAAATATCCGTTTTCGGTTCTCGAGATGGCGCCGTGGCCGTTATTTTCCAGGCTTGCGCCCGCCAGGTTTGGGCCTCAGGTCGTTTTCACTAAGCCACGTTTTACTATAGGGGGGTCTGTCCGTCCCCGATTCTGTTACCCTACGGTTCATACCGCGCGCTATGCCCCCCCCAACGACGTAACGACCCCCTCTGTTCCCAAGTGCGCTCCCAGCAGTGCCACAGCGCGTCCGCCACCGCAGTCTTGCTGGTGCCGGACCCACGCGACAGGGGGTTGAGCCTTTATGCTCTGTCTCTCCCCCGCCGCTCCCCCCGCCCAGATATAAAGGCCATGATCGCCGAGAATAGACGCCCCCGCGCCCGAGATCGAAGAGCACAAGCTACAGAAGCATAACTTTTCGGAGGTCCGCGCGGATTTCTTGCATCGGCGTGGGGTCCACCTGGAGAAACCTCCAGCGCCGCCCCTGGCGTCTGGCGCCGCCCCTGGCGCGCAAAGCGCGCCAGGAGGGGGGGATTCAGCGCCGATCCAAGAAGTCTGCGCGGACCTCTGAGAGACTATGTGTGTATGCCGTTTTTGGCTCCTGTATCCGCGCCCCCCTTGAAGCCGCCCGCTCCTCGTTCACGGCCTGCCTGTCCACATGTTGAGCGCGGCGCGCTCCTGCGTGGGCATTCCACTCCCGCCTCCTCCTCCTCCTCCTTCTCCTCCTTCTCCTCCTCCTCCTCCTCCTTCTCCTCCTCCTCCTCCTCCTCCTCCTCCTCCTCCTCCTCCTCCTCCTCCCCCGTCTCCACCGCCCCCTGGCGGCCCTCTGCCGCTTCCCCCCTTGCTGCGCAGTGTCGCATCCCGTGGCGCTGCTGCCCGGCCTCGAGTCCAGCCTCGAGTCCTCGAGCCCAGCCTGGAGTCCTCGAGTCCTCGAGTCCGGCCCCTGGAGTCCTCGAGTCCTCGAGTCCTTCCTCCTCGCCCCGGCCCTCGCTCCTCGCCACAGAAGTGCCGCGTGCTGCTCCTCGGAAGTGGCCACGCGCACGGCCGAGGCGGCATCCAGCTGGAGGTGGCAAGAGTGCGGGGCGGTGGCGGCGCGAGGTCAGAGGGAGGTCGAGGGGCCAGGAGAAGGAGGAGGAGGAGGAGCAGGAGCAGGAGGAGGAGGAGGAGGAGGAGGAGGAGGAGGAGGAGGAGGAGGAGGTTGGTCGATACACGAGCTGTCCTTTCCCTTGCCGCTCCGCCATGCGCGTGTCTCCCCACGCGCGCACGTTCTAAGCTGCTCGGGAAGGAAACGAGGGCGTGGGACGAGGAGGGGCGTCTTGTGCTCCTCCAGAGAGGCCTCGTGCTGCCCCGTGCCGGGCGCGGCTCCGCCGAGAGCGACGAGTTCGAGGACCACCGTTGGGCCAACAGGCGCCCATGCGGCCCCGGTCCCGTGCCGCGGCGCGCCCGAGGGCTCTTGCCTGGTGCGGGGCCTTTCCCTCCTCTCCCCCTAGTCAGCCTCCTTCCTATTCCTGTTCTTCCGACTCCCCTCCTGTTCGTGCTTCTCCCGAGGCCGCCGCCATGGGGTGCTTCTGACCAGTCCGGATAGCCGCCCCCGCCGCTCCGGATTGTCAGCTTCCAAGGCCCCCCTCTGGCCTCCAATGCGGCCTGGGGGGCCAGCTGACATTTGCCGTTTCCTTGGGCCGAGTTCCGTGGCCTCTATTGTGGGGGGTCGCTTGGCCGGCGAAAACATTTGTTCATCAGCGCCGGAAATTGGTTTTTCAATCTTCAACCACCGTTCGTTGGTTCGATGCGGCTGATGTTGACAATGCCACCGCCGAATTCGACAATGCAGAACATAGGATTTCGCTCGCGAGCGGTGATAGCAGCCCCATGCCACTTCGTGGTCCACTGAAGGAGCCTTCGCCAAAACGAGAATTTCCAATTTCAGCGTGTCACATCCATGGCATTGGGGGGCGGCACCGACGCCAAATATTGGTTTGCGGTTGTAGAGAGCGTGGCGGCATTTCTTCCAAAGCTCAACACTGAACAGTGGCGTCGGCGCCATGTTTTATAGGACGCCGTCAAGATACGGGCGTTGCCGGGTGTTCGCGCACCGGGTGTTGTCTCTTCGTTGCGGGCCCAGACCGATCACGCTCGACACATGCAGCAAACGGATGGGATTTAGGGCTCAAGTCCCGTTTTTCGTGATGGCGCATGCTTTCCGCAACGTCCGATACCACGGGTTAATGAGTTATTCAATTTTCTTCAGTCCAGCTGCGCCTCCCTCCATGCTTCCGCCCCCCCCCCCCATCGAGGCCTCCAAACCGTGACGTGATGGGCACAAGCGGGCTTCAAACAAGAACGCGCCCGACTCCCACGTCGGTTTCGATGTGTCTCGTGCTCGGGAGGACGAAAGCTGAACAAAAACAATATTGTAGGCGGCGTGCGAGATTTCAGGACTACGAGTCCGGCGCGGGCTCATTCCTGGCAGGAGCATTACCTTCGTTCCTCCCTCCTCCCTCTCCTCCTCTTCCGTCCGCTTACCACTTCTTCGTTTCGTCCTCCTCCGACTCTTATTGGAGAAGGTGAGGGGGGCAGACATGAAAAAGGGGAACGAGGCCGCCCAGACGGCCTACGAGGACGCAAAGGCCGCCGAGGCAGCGGGCGCAGGCGCGGGCGGTCTTTCCGGGCGGTTTCCCAGGCGGCATTGGCGGCATGCCGGGTGGCATTGACGGTATGTCCGGCATGGGGGGCGTGTTCATGGGCATGGCTCTGAGCATGCGGCAGGGCCTGCTGAGTGACCCAGAGCTGATGGCGGTCTTTAGCAACCCCGAGATGGTCGCTGGCATGCACGACATCACGAGCAACCCGGGCAATAATAACCCAGTGAAGCCGTTCAGGATCCCCCCCTGTGCGGTGAAACGATGACGCAGCCAGCACCCAAAAACGACATTTGGGCACCCTGAGGGGGAGGAGGGGGTGGACGAGGAGGAGGAGGAGGAAAATCATGAGGTGGAGGAGAATGAAGAGAAGGAGGAGGACAGGGAGGAGGGGGAGGAGGAGGAGGAGGACAGTGACGAGGAGGAGGAGCAGGAGGAGGAGGAGGAAAAGGACTGGGAGGAGGAGGAGGAGGCGGAGGAGGAGGAAGAAGAGAGGAAGAGACACAGGGAGCGGGAAGACAGGGCAGGGGAGGGGGAGGCAGGGATAGGAGGAGAGGATGAGGAGGAGGGAGGAGAGGAGGAGGAGGAGGAAATGGAGGAGGAGGAGGGGAGGGAGAGAGTAGGAAGGAGGAAGGGGAGGACGAGAAGGAGGAGGATCAGATGGGAGGGAGAGGAGGAGGAAACGACGCATGGAGGAGGGGAGGAGAGGAGGAGGAGGAGGAGGAGGAGGAGGAGCCCGGGAAGGAGCCTGGGGAGGACGAGGAGGACGAGGGAGAGGAGGACGAGGAGGAGGAAGAGGAGGAAGAGGAGGGGGAGGAAGGAGGACAGCGAGGAGGACGACAGGGAGGAGAAGGAAGAGACGGATGAGGAGGAGGAGGAGGAGGAGGAGGAGGAGGAGGAGGAGGAGGAGGAGGGAGGAGGACATGGAGGAGGAGGACAGGAGGAGCAGGAGGTCAGGGAGGAGGAGCAGGAGGACAGGGAGGCGGAGGAGGAGGAGGAGGACCAATGTATATTCAAGGCCCATCAATGGTGTTTGAGTACAACCTCCCTCCGAACTACCCCCTGCGTCTTTTTGGCGTTGAAGACTGATGCGTTCTTACCGTCAGCCCTTGCTAGTTCTAGATGTCGACCGCGGGGTTGGGGAACAGTTTTTGCCTAAAGATCACACGCCGCTAAATCCGCTCGCGAGAATTATCTATTCTCGCGCCGGTACTAACAACAACACAGGGATTGCCTAAATGGTTTCACTGGGCTGGCAAGGACCAGATCGATCCAGAGATTATGGGGGTCCTCCGCAAGATATGGATGGGCGGTGGCGGTGGCATGCCTGTCTTCGGAGGCGCAGGAGGTGGCAGCGCCAGTCAGGCCGCGTTTACAGGGCCCACTGTCGATGAAGTGAGTGAGTCAGGAGTCGATAAAGTGGACATAGCAGTCTTGACCGTTGTTGCACGGCGCCATCGGTTCTTTACCTATGCCCTATATGTTGACGACGCGTTGCGCGTATTCCCATGCCAACCCATCGTACAGAACATGTGAAATGCAATCATGGAGGAAGGGCGCAAGCACGGCTAGGAGCTCAATTGGGAGAAGACTTTGCAGATGCAAAGATCTACAAATCAAGGGATCACGACGCCGATTGGTTGAAATATTGTGGCAGCTCGGGGTGCTGTACATTTTGGAGGCTACTAACATGCGATGGAAAGGCGTCCGCCGAGCTGTGCAGACGACTCGGGGGAGCAAACAAAAACGTAAAGCAGTTCAGCAAACCTCGGTCGGCGAAAATGCAGCGACAGTGCCGGTCTCAGACAATTGTCATATCCATTGGGCGATGTTTGGTTATTGAGAACAGATGGATGCCAGTTCGATGGCTTGCGGTGTAGAAGTTGGCGACGTCTTCTTGGAGCCCCACATTCATTTATGTCGCGGATCAGTAACGCAGGCGTTCTCATCAAGGCAGGGGCGGAGCAGCTCGCTGAACGTTTGGCTTGAGACAAGTCAAAAGATACGGCGATAGTTGCTGCGCATGTCTTTGGTGAAGCGAATCGTCCGCAATGATGACGAGGTGCCGACAAATTGGACTCGCAATCGCTGGCGTGGGCGACTTAAACAATAGTGCACATATTGCATTGCAGCGTGTGTTGTTTCCTCTCTTCCCTCCTCTTCTTCTTGCTCTTGCCTCGCAGCCCGTCTTCTGCTTCACAGTCGGGCGTTGTCGCGTCTTCCTCGCAGTCGTGAGGCGCTACGCCTTCCATCCCTCTTTTCGCAAGCGCCGAAAAAAGGTTGCCAATCGCGCGCCATCCTGCCCACGTGTCCTTTCGGATGTTTGGCTCCGTGATGGTAGCGGACTTGCGCGCTCGCGCTCGGTTCGTAGGCGTTGGCTCATGTCGCACAGGCACCGGTACGGCTCTTCC